TTACTACTAGAGGATTATTTCATAGATTTCCTGTCAAAATGAGTACTCCTAGTGAGTTTTTTGTGAAAGAGCTTTAAGTGTTATAATGTCAACAAGCTATCTGTGAAAAAAACACACTCGGAAACTTGCTCTCATTATTAACAAGTGAATATTTATTTTTCTTCTGTTATGAAGTCAATATAATGAACCTATTAAAATCACAATTGAATCGTTGTTAGATCATCATTAGAAACATGGAAGCACTGAAAGACAGCCGTTTCATCTTGGTATGAGACTCATCAGCCATATGCATGCATGGTTCCTGTTACCGGCAGGATTCGGACCCAGGACCTTTGGTCTTGCGTGCGAATACCTAACCTCTGGACTGTTGAGCTGGCATCTTACGGTATTAATGTATAACTCTGATCAACCTAAGGTTTTGCGTAACCCCACCTATTATCTTCCGTAGTTACTTCTTTAACACCTGACAGCGTTGAACTCCACTGATCACGTTTACAACTCTTTGATTCTTCATTATCGTATAATGGAGATTGTTGTTTTTTCACACAATGAACTTATGAAATGCGATTCAGTCGAACTAGATCAGATTAAAAGCTATTCGCTTCATATAAATCGACTAAGGCAGTGTTTCTGTACACTTTTAACTGTATTCTTTTTAGTTTAATTATTTTCATACGATATTAGAGTAGAAAAATCGACATCTTATGCATGCATGTCTAATAATTATGTGAGAAAATAAATATTCATAAATATATATTTTTTTTTACAAAAATAATAAATTCGTCTGTAATTTCCATCTTATAGTAAGTATACTGACAGGTAGATGAAATTCATGAGGCAAAACAATACAATCTAAACATTTATTCATGCAAAATGAAACGTTTAATGAAACTCAGGAAAATACTTTTGTAAAAAGTCTATGCATTTACGTATACGATGCTGTTTTTTTTTGTTATATCCTAAGGCTAAACATAATTTTCAGGATTTGTAAAGTTGAAGATTGTTTGTATCATTGACTGATATGCTCATCAATTGATATCCTTACGAGTTCACCTTACTCGGTAAACGGAACGTAGATAAATGATTCAGTGACACGATAGACTATCCTAATCCGTTTGTCCCCGACCCGACTAACTTTATCAGGAAGTCTTGATTAGGAGCAGAAAGTGTATTCTACAAGCACCCGGAAAATCTGACGTTGACAAGCACACAAAGCGAGCATATTAATACATGACAGAAACGTCCTGGGAGAGCCACAAAGTAGCGTACTAAAATAATCAATCAACCAATGACAATCAAGGATCTTCCGAGTAAGAAATGTAATCACAAGGTCAACTAAGCATAAACGGAAAAACCCAAAATTGGGACCTTTTCCAAGTGAGTTCTTGGGGCCTAATGTCCTCAACATTGATTGATAAGCTAGAGAACATAAGTTACCTATCCCTAAAGTCATCTCCTAATACAAGTCATCTTCAGAAACGTTTACTGTTCAGAAAATCGAACATGCTAATAGTACCTGGAAACCAACTTCATAATGTAACGATACTGTAATGAGAGCTAGTAGTGAATTTCAAAGATTCAATCCCAAGCACTGTTTAATATTTCGACAGTAGGATTTGATCAATGTGTAAACTATTCAACGAATATTCAATTATATTCAAATTGGGTTTAGTTTGAATTAATTGTCAAGATTAACACATGTTCGTTTGATATATAGTCTGTTGTTTCAACAACTAAAGTGACAGCATCATTCTGCCTTCCTGAGGAGTACTTTTTAGAAAAACTGTATGTTAATAGTTTTCGATGTTCTCTAAAGTTTTCAAAGTTGCTTGCAGTGAAGAAATTTATGGGCGTCAGTAACCGCAAAATAACAATGGATTTTATTTACACAGTGATATCGTCAACCAATCACTGTTAGATCAACATTAAAAACCTGGGAGCACTGGACGGCCGTTTTTTGCTGCTACGGGACTCATCGGCAGTACGCATCCATGACTTCTACACCTCACAGGATTCGAACCCTGGACCTTCGGCCTTGCGCGCGATCGCCTAATCTCTAAACCACTGAGCCGCCATCCAACGGTGTTAATATGCTTCCAGGTTTCTAATGGAGCTTTAACAACGATTGGTTGATGATTTCAATGTGTAAATAGCAAGGATATCCGAAATCAAATTGCTTTTTTATGAATAATGCGTAATAAGCTTACTTGCATAGAATCAGATATAAAGTTATTTATCTTACAATTATTGAAATTAAACCATTTTTTATGTATCAAGTAATGTGAAACTCCTTCTGTCTGATGAGTTGCCTCATTAAAAAAACACATCATAAAATCAATTAATAATTGCACAAGCTGTACATTTGTTCTAATAAGAATGATAATCATTTGAACAATATCAAATTATCGTTCAGTCCCTTAATGATTTACATATTGGTATCAGTATACACATCAGTATATACATGATAGGACGAGATTAAAAGATGATATTATTTAGATCAATACTTTCTGTATCAGTTCATTGGAAATTTTATTCAGGAGTGGCAAGTGTGAACTTCGTTCATTGTGACATTTTGAGGTCATTATTATTTTGTATCAACTTAATTCAACATCATATGTGAACTTTCATTCAGTGTTCAATATCAGATTGGTTTTATTTTCAGTATGATTTTGACCCAGTATGTTACTCTTTACATTAAATTAACATGAATATTATGACGTTATCGATTTTCAGAAATAATCACTTTTACTACAAAAATGTTAGGCAGCAGAAATACTCAATAACTTTTGCATTTTTACTTCTAGAAGACTTTCATAACGGCGAGCTAGAAACAATAAAATGGTAGCATACGCAAATTCTTATATTTACATCGGATATTTGAATGTGTACTGGTCTACAGTTAACGAATACTATGTATAACTATATATTATATAAACTATTAACTGAGATTAACAGGCTTTCATTAACACAACTAGTTGAAGTGACCAACCATTCAAATTACACGGAATTTAAGAATAAAACAAAAAATTAGTTACTTAAATAGATAACACATGGATTTGACAGTAAATCTATTTAGCGGAATGAATCATTTCTATAAGTATCTAAATGGTGTTTCACTCACAACAATTTAATTCTGTCTTCAAATTAACGAAATATTCAGTATGTAGAAGAATAACAAATGGTTTTAAGTCTTTTTTCAGTTAGACTTTTTCGAGATTTGTGTTTTTTTACAAATTCGAAATCATCAATCAATCATTGTTAGACCACCATTAGAAAACTGGAAGCACTGAAAGACGGCCATTTCGTCCCGGTATGGGAATCATTAGTGGCAGTGCGCATCAACGACTCCTGCACCTTGCAGGATTCGAACCCGGGACATTTGGTCTTGTGCGCGAATGCCTAACCATCGGTTTTCAGTCTGTATTATTCTCTCTATATGAAAACATGTGTGTTTTGGTTGTGAAACTAAAACATCCAGCTCAGAGAGAACAGAACTCCGGCATAATCATCTACTTGAGCTACGAATTTTCTCCATCATCTTAATAATAACGATGTTATTTCATCAAAAATCCATAAGCTAATAAAGAAGTAGGGTATATTTTTTTCTGGATGATAGTTTCAAAATAATTAGTTGTGTAATGTACTTCTGTAAACGAATCATACTCTCCTATTCTACTGCCGGTGACGACCCACATGGTCTATAGGCTCTGCGATAAAAAAATACGATTTGAAATCAAGTCAATAATATCCACAAATGGGAAACTTAAATCCATATAAATTAGATTTACACAGTTGTTCATTGTTGTTATTAACAATTTTCAGTAAAAAATGAATAGGAGTAATTATTCGTTTGTTTATTTTCATTAACTGGTAGATAAACAGAAAACTTACCAATATCGACCAACTATAAAGTGCCCCATTTTCACTTCACATATACTAAAGTTTATTTCGACATCCACATACAAAATGTATAAATCCATCTTTCAGTTATTAGACTAGATTCTTACTGTGAATTTAGCAAATTAATTTTCTTTGATAGAACAGTGAGAAGACGTAATTGATCTGTAAAATGTGATGTATTTGCGCTATACATTTCGAATAATTTGGTCACACGTATACTACTTGTCAAGGCATTCTATATGAAGACTAATAAGAGGTCAATTAAAACAAAACACATAATTGAGGCAGGACATAAGATTGACATCAAGACTGCCTTCAAAAATGTTGAAGGACTAATTTTGAGGTTTATGGAGGCCTTGGCTATTCGAACGTTAGAACCCCCGCCTAATGTGTATAAAAACAAAATGTTATAACCATGAATTTGCCCTGATAATCTTTAAGCCTCGGGTAATGTGACAATTACCTACCCCTTTTTATTCTTTTCATTTTAGGTTAATTTTCTCTCTCCTTTATTTAAAATTATCACCTTACGTCTATTTGAACTTTTATTTAGTTGACCTTTTATTAATCTTCATATAAAATGCGTTGACAAGCAAATATGTGCATTACGGGGTTGTGAAGATTGTTAAGTTACACATTTTCGAAATCATGAATCGATCAATGTTAGACCACCATTAGAAACCTAGAAGCACTGGATGGCCGTTTCGTCCTGGTATGGGACTCCTCCGTGAATTGATCAAGTTAGACACTAACACCGTTAGATACCGGCTAAGTGGTCCGATAGTTAGGCGTTCGCGCACAATACCGAAGGTCCCGGGTTCGAATCCTGCTGGGTGCAGGAGTCGTGGATGCGCACTGCTGAGAAGTCTCATACCAGGACGAAACGGCCGTCTTTCAGTGCTTGCAGGTTTCTAATGGTGGTCTAACATTGATCGATTCATGATTTCGTAAATGTGTAAAGTAAATATGTGTGACTACATTGTTCGAAATGCATCACATTTTTCAAATCAATTACATCTCACTGTTCTATCTAAATTTATAAACGAGACTAATTGTTTTAAATTAATTTTCGTTTATTTTTTAATTCTCTTTTTTAAAAGGTTATGGCTGTAGATATTGATGCAGGTGAAAATGGTACAATTCTATATTTTATTTATTCTGGAAATAATGATCAGTATTTCAAATTAGATCGAAACAATGGAATTTTGAGTATTAATAAGAAAATCCCATATTCTGCATTAGGTGAACATTTATTGAGAATTGAAGCAAGAGATTGTGGACAACCGTATCGTTTTACTTTAGCTGAAATTATCATAGAAATTGATCAGTCACCATCGAAAGCTTATTTAACGACAAATATTTATCAATTACAAAATTCTGATGGAACTATGCATTATGGTGCTAGTGGATATACGTTGAATTTATATATTATCATAGCAATTATTGCTGCAGCTTGTGTTGTATCGACGGTGTTATTATTTTTAGTATTTATCTTTTTACAACGTGCTAAACGTAGTCGAAATTGTAGAGCTGATGATGATTCATCGAGGCGAAAGTATCATGGAATTAACATGAAAGAATTGCACACCAACTATTCAACAAATATTCAGTCACAAAGTAATGATATGAATAAATTTGCAGACCATGGAGGTAAACGATTAATTGACTTATTTTTGGTTACTTATTTAAACTATACGATTTAAAACTGTTTCTCAAACTTGTATCTCTTGTATAAATCTCATTGGAAGAATGTAGAAAAGGCATTATGTTACACAAGCTTCCTGAAATTCTCGATCTTTTCCGAAAGGCGTTGATAAATAAAAGAATCACACACTATTTTATTGTTTAAATACTAGTCATATATGGAGTTAGTTGTACTCCAAATTCTTACTGAATGCAGATTTGAATCAATCGACGAGCTGCAGTGTTTTACACGATTGCAAATAAGCCATGTTGATCAACTTTGAAGAAACTTAGGTTCAGGGTTTCAAGTCGATTGCCTTCAGTAATAAAACTTCGAAAAGCCTTATATAATCGAATAGATCGTTGAACACGATGAACGAAACAAATAAACAGCATGTATTCATGCATAGTGATCAATACTTTAGTCCTTAGATAATATCTGAAGAATATTTACCATGCAGTAAACTCAAAATTACGTAAACATTGGCATAATATCCGATAATTGTTACAAAACATTATCTTATTTAACAAGTTCTTAGATTTGCATGGTTGGTTTTATGGAATTTTAGATTTCAGCTGGAGACAGATGATCATTTAGTCAGATTTAATCTATAAAATTGATCTGGCTATAGTATCGTTTTAGAAAACTATGTATTTTATCAGAAATCGATTTGACAACAATTTTATCTAAATACGTGATGTAATCTGGTTGGTATTAATTTGCACTTGTTTTATTTTTACGCATAAGCGTATTTATTTCGTAATTTTCTATGGGCATTGTCATAGTTTTCTATAGTTTTAAACTTGGTATGATTGAAATCATTCAGTTATTTCGCCAGTTTATAAGTTACTTAAAAAATGTGTAAGTAATATATGCCATACATTCTGAATATGTAATATGTTGTAAGAAAAACATGAAGTGAAAAAGAGTCAAGCGAAATTTAGTGATGTGATGAAGAAATATCTGTCACAGAGGCAAATAACTACCACCCTTTTGAATACATAAATCAGTACTTTGACTGACAATAGCAGAGGTTTCAACAAACCATTGAAGATTAGAACGTGGCTATTTAACAATGACCTTAAGAGATGATTAAGTGTCGACCTAATATCTTATTCCAAGAAATATTTAGTTATTTTGCTATTTGAATTGGCTCCCTTTACTTTTTCCAATACTTTTCAGAACATTTACCTACCTCTTTCTGTGTGACCACTGTAGCCGCTTTAGCACGTACATGAAAATTTATAGACATGCAACTAGCATGAAAGGTTCTGGTTAAAAGGTTGACTCGACTTAATTTAATCATAGTCACACGTATTATTTTGAGTTCTCGTCCGTTTTAATACAAACCACCAGTTTCTTCAGAAACGATTATTGAAGTTATTTTTGAAGATACTGCTTCATCAGTTGCGATGATTTGTAATTTTTTAATGAAATTTTCGTTATCACTTGTAAATGATTTGAATAACTTGCAGAAACTTGGTGTTCTTAAATCTGTGAAATATTCACCCACGGCGGATCCAATATTGGTCATTATGAAGCCCAATGGATCCTCCCGACCGTGGCTGCTACCTTGACGTGGTGGTCGGGCTTGCCTATCGTGATGATCCAACCGAGCTATACTGGCTGGAACATATGTTCCAGCAGGTCCTACCATGCCAGACAGGTCGATTGGAGAACGATGAGACTAAAAGCAGCTACCCAAGGTCTGAGGGCGAAGTCGTACTGCTGACTGCAAAGGGGTGTGACAGCAGTAAGGTGTTTCCCTCGGACAACCAGCATCTGCAGCGATGCTGCCTTCTGACAAGGAAGGAAGGGTTAGAAAAGGTCGACCCTAAAAATGTCACACCTCCCCTAGCTCACGGATTTCCGTCTCCTTGGGTAAGGGTGCCCACTAAGGGCCTTTAAGAACGGAGCTAATCCTCTAAATACCTTTCATAAAAAGGCCGTGCGTGACCGACCTCAAGCAGTTGTCCCTTGGACTCTGCGGTCACGCACCAACACTAATCTATTTTCCTTTTCAGGTTCCTCAAGAAACAACCTTCCACGGTGTGGGCAGCCGGTAAGTGACAACCGCCCTCATACCCATAACAGCACGCGAGACCAAATTGGTCAAAATCAAATCCTTTCTACACCCCCTAATGTCTCTCTTATCTCCACGACTAACTCTTCTTACATTCATTCATCACATTGCACAGCTAATGCAGACGATACGAGTTCGCGAAAGGTCGTTCCTGGTCTCCTTAAACCTCGCTCTAGACTACATGTTGGAGCATTTAATGTACGGACATTGTGTCAAATAGGGCAACAGGCTTCCTTAGCTATGACTTTAGAATCTCGTGCCATCGATGTATGCTGCGTCTCGGAAACGCGCATACAGGATCCGAGTCACGTCATACACTTGACCACACCATGTCAAAATAAAGAAGCAGCTCGATTTACTCTTCGTGTATCCGGTAGCCCTGATGCTGCTCA